ATGATCAGTTTGACTATTTTAAGTGTTGGGGTCTCAAATAAGTGAGATATCTGACTTGGTAACAAACTTGAGGAATGGTCCCCGTAGATTCATAAACATTCTACCAGTCATTGACAGTCTGATTTTTTCAATTTGAGAAAATAGAGGATGTCTCTAATCCAACGGGTGTGTGAAGGTGGTATAGATGATTTCTGTTGACCATCACCGAGTTTAAATAAATAAATCGTCTCACCAAAAGGCTGGGAAAAGCAGGAACATCTTTATTAGATTTTGCAAAAGAAGTCAAAGAATATGTATCTCCATGGAAGGGGGGTGGGATGCCAAATAGTGCAGTAAGTGCATTGAGCTCAACTCTTTCACCTAGTGCTTCTGACAAAGAGGTAAAAAACCTCTGTCCAATAACTACAAATTGATGGGCAGTTCCAAGACGTGTAAAAGGTTCTCAGTAGACTGTTGACATTGGACACAACTTTTAAAAATAACATTCATATTGCAGCATTTTCATTAAAGTCGGATTGATGGATAGAAAATCCCTCTGGTCAACAGATCCATCCAGCTGAGATGTAGTTTTCTACAGTGCATCCAGGTGTTTCTCCCATGGTGTTTCTCCAAGGCATTTTCCTGATTACAAAGCTTCAGGACGTTTTTCTTTTTCGCAGAGCCCTGTGCTCCTAGAGATGTGGCGGTGGACGTCTCCTGTCAGAATCACAGTGCTCTGGTGTCCTGGACCCCCTCTCCCATTGCTGAAAGCTACCAGGTTGTTGCCGTGGCTGCAGACGGACATGGACACACCTGCAACACCACCTCCAGTGACTGCATCCTGTCAGAGCTGCACTGTGAACAGCAGTACACAGTGTTTGTGAAGGCTAGTCATGAGAACTGCACCAGCAAAGCCAGTCAAAACGTGACTGTGAACACAGGTACCAGTAACAGGGAAAGCTGCAGCTGTAATCATGAGATGAAGAGTCTAAAATGTCCCCTCTGTTCAGGCCCCTGCCAGCTGAGTGTACTCTCCACGACGTTCCACTGTGCCAATCGGTCTGTGATGCTAACATGGACGCCCAGTGATAATAACCCTGCAGACTATTATGGCTACGCTGAAGCTGAAAATGGAGACAGGCTCCACTGTCACAGCGCAGAGCCTGGCTGCACCATCAACGGACTTGTCTGTGGAACAGTTTACAATTTTTCTGTGCAGGTCTCAGATGGAACATGCAACAGCTCCTTTAGTGACCCTGTGCAGATTGCAGGAGGTAAAAGTCCAGCATGCTGCTTCTCTTAAAGAGCTTATATATTTAGCTAAATGAGACCATTAACCATCACCTATATCCCATGCAGTTCCTTGCCCTCCTCAAGATGTCAAGGTGAGGCTGATGCCAATTGAGATGGAGATCGAGATGTTGCACTTCAGCTGGACGGAGATCAGCTGTGCAGATACAGAGTACATGCTGACCTTGACAGGAAGTCTGCTGGGAGACAGCCAGGCTCTGTTTGAGCTCTCCTCCTACTGGACCAGCGTGACATACTTTGAGTTCCCTCTTCCCTGCAGTTCTTCTTATGTCGCCACGCTGCAGAGCAGAAATGATGCAGGCATGAGCGGCATATCAGTACCCCTCAACGGGACAACAGGTAGACGAAATTCACACTTTAAGGTTGAATGAGACTTTTTTTTTTTAAGTTGAGAGTCAAGATTATCCTTTATAATGAATGTAGCTGACTGAACGTAATACCAAATATTATTTCCAAATGCAAATATTCTTTTTAGGACTGTTTAAAACCAATTAATATCTCCTAAATGAAATGCATTGTACCGGTAATATTTTATAGGCTAGATATTAGTTTCTGTGTATTAAACCTGTAATTTACACTTATATAATTAGTTAATAAAGCAATTATTGATAAGTTAGTTAAGTTGCAAAAAAAGATACGAGGCTTATTAATAAGGTGGGATACTGATAAACTCTTCAGTCAAAGCAACACATTAAAATTCAAAGACATTGTTTATATAAAAATACTGGAAATAATGCATAAAGCAGTGAACAAAGGTCTTCCTTCTGGTATTCAGAAATGATCTAAGTTAAGAGAGAATAAATATAATTTGCGAGGTTTGTTTATATTTGAATGTGCAAAAGAGAAGAGCCAGATAAAGTCTAGATGTGTTTCAGTTATTGGTGTGAAAATGTGGAATGATTTGAATGATGACTTAAACTTATGTCCTTTCCTGGTGAATTTTAAAAGGGCTTTAAAATGTAAAATGATAAAATCCTATGTTATGTAGATTTGAATATTTATATACGCAGTAAAGAACCTGGTAAGTTGTAAAGGCTGTAAGTATAAACCAGGGTAGGCAATAATAAGCTTTACTTCAGCCTATTCCTTTTTTTTTTTGGTAAATTGTTGTTTTTGTTTTGTTTTGATATTGTTGTTTTGATGTTTAATGTTGGATTATTTGCTAAAAAATAAAGTGAAAGTGAAGTGAAGTTAGTAGTAGTTAGCAGGTTATATAGAATGTTGTCGTCTTCTACCTGACAAAGAATTTATTTCAAGCGCACACCTTTAACTACTATTTTTTTCCCCCTCTCACAGCTCCTTGTCCACCATCAGGAGTGAAGTACAGCATTAACGCCTCCTTCATCACCGTTGCCTGGAACTCCTCAGTGTTTGCCACCACGTACACCGTGTACGATGCCAGCGTGTCGCCTAACATGCAGCTGTGCACCACTGTAGAGCTGTCCTGTTCCCTGCCCATCATGTCCCCCAGCAGCCTGGTGGTCACAGCCAGCAACGATGCAGGGGAAAGTCAGCCTGAAAATGTCGTAAAAGGTGGGAACCAACACCACATATAAATGTTTAATTGAATTATTAAAAACAATCACTGAGATTATTTTCTTCTCTTTAGTTTTTGAGCGCAGGAGGAGAGGTCTCATGGAACAAGTGGCAGCAAACGGTTTGTTTACATTTGCTGGATGTAATACAACAGACTAGACTTTTCTTAGTTGATTAGAAAACAAAAATTAAGTTATTTTGTGAGAAGCTGGCTGATCACAAGCATAATAATGGAAAGTTGAGTGGAAAAGAAAAGTCTGGTAGATTATGGTGCACACAGCAACAGTCATGACTGCATTCATTGGAAGAGTTTAAAACAAGAATTTAAGGGTTAGCATGACATTTTAGAGATGGATCCATTGAATGGGCTACTGCCAACGCATTCCTTGCATTTGGAATCAAACTTCCAAAGTTTGGAGAAAATTTAAAGGCAGCTTTCTACATATCTAACTCACTTTAGGACTAGTGTGAAGTTTCCAACTGCTGTGAGGATTATATTTTGAAATATTGTCAATAGTAAGATATAGAGACAGCAGGCCAGACTCCTCCAACAGCAGGGCAGCAGGTTGATCTTCTCAATGCCCCGCTGCGCTGATGCAGTCATTTTTCTTTTTTTTTTTTTTTACAAAAGGAGCCATAAAAAACCCTATTTAATTGATATACTTTTAATTGAGCAAACATCATTGTATTATAAAACCAAAGTTTGGTTAATCTGACATAATCATGTAATTCAATTAAATGGATTTGGTTTTTTTTAATGAACTTTAAGCTGTCATCAGAAAAACAAACAACTGAATGTGAATGCATATACATATAATACACATGTGAATGTTCCACTTTGAATTGAACTGCTGAAATAAATGTAGCGTTTGTTTATATTTTAATAAAAAAAAGATGAACCTTTCAGTAGCTTTTAGTCTGAATTTACCAAACAATGATAATCTTTTGGTTAAATCTGCCATCTTTGATTCCTTTCCTTCTTCAGGGAACATCTCTTCTCTGCTGCTGGAGGTGACGCAAACCTCACCAGCAACAATTTCGCTCCGGTGGTCACCAGTGGAGGATGCTTCCTTTTATAACCTGCTGATCTGGAAGCCAGGAAGCTCCAAGGACAACCAACAACTCACCGTGTTTGAGGAGAGCATCACCCTCAGCGACCTGAGCCCCAACTCTGCTTACTGTTTCTCAGTCTTGGCAGTGACTGCAGAGAAAAGTGGACCAGAGTCAGAGCCTGTGTGTCTGCAAACAGACCAGCTGATGACACAGTAAATGCTTCCAGCTGTTTGTTTGGATAAAGCTTCATAAAGCAGGTCCACGTAGGAAAATGTCATGGTTGATCAAGTGGAAGCACACTAAATGTGACATATCCTGTAGCCTGAGTGCAATGACTGTAGATCAAATAGCTGGAAAAATCTGTGGGTAGTTTTACTTTTTAAAACTAAATTTCACACTTTTGCTTAGATGCATGATAGAAACCTGCTTGTATAACTTCTGTTGGTTTAAACTTTAATATTGATAAAAAAAAAAAGCTTAATTTTCGCCTTTTCTGTGTTAAGTGCTACACGGCCTTGCTAATTGATGTCAACATGTGTTAACATGAGATGCACTAATGTGAAATGTATTTTAATAAGTCTCAATCATTTTATGCCATTCTTATTAAAATGAAAATATCTTAAATGGAATCAATGTTTTTATTTCCCAAGAAACGCCGTTTCATTTAGTTTAATTAGCCTGCAGATCTTCTGGATTAAATTCAGATTATATTTCATCTGAGGGTCTAACAATATTCAGAAAACTGTAAAAACAACGAAACCTGTTGTTTTAAGACAAAAAACAAGCTAGGAGCAGCTTTTGACATAAAACCTAATTTGGGTTCCATTATTTTGTTCATTTTTTTTTTTTTATATAATCCTAATCTTGCAGTCTTATTCTTTTTGCCTGTCCTGAGGATGTAGTTTGAATCTTCTTGCCTTTAAAAAAATAAAAATACTTGCCTTACCTGAAATCCATTCCTTCCCTTTTGAACTAGGCATTGATAGCTTTTAGACTTCAACATATTAAATATTTATAAATGCTACAGTGAGGTAACATCTCAGGTTTTTGTTTATACACCAACACCAGAAAATTAATTTGTAAAAGGTTTTTATTAGAAAACAAAATGCAACAGAGAATAACTCAGACAACACAAGCAGGGATCAAGTGTGTGGTAAAAATAAATCTGTCCTTCAGAGGATAAAAACCTTCCTGGACTGTCTACTAATGCTCATGGACAGACTGGTTAAGCTCCACCTCTGGATTCAAACCGTGCTTCAGCGAAGGCTGAAAATGGAACCGATAACCTGCTATGATTTACATCTAGAATATGCTGACAGTACAGAGGCGAACCTTCACAACCACTACGGTCCAAAGGCAGTGTAGACACGTCTTAGACAGTATGTACAAACCCACTTCTTGGAGCAAAACAAGAATCATAGAAAATTAAAATGCCATTTTTCTTACTGTACAGAGTTTAAATGAGGACTAACAATACTCTAACAGGGAGTGAGACATCTGAAAACAGAAGGGAACCAACATTACGTTTGGCCAAAGATGAGCCCTGATGCTAACCCTGCCTGCTAATGCTCCTTCACTTTGGGCACATCGCTGACCAGACAGCTGAGCGAAGAGGAGGAAGATAATCATTCAAGTAGAAGCATTGCTGCCTTTACTCAGCGCTCTGGCTTCTTTTCCGTTCACCGTGTTTACTACTATGCTCATTGCTGGAATCTCGCTGGTGGCGACTCCTCTCTTTGCTGCGGCTACGTTTGTGGGAGCGCTCTCTTTCCCGCTCTTTGCTGTGGCTGCGATCTCTCTTCCTGGCCTTTTCCTCTGCGCTGCTCTTATGCCTCCTTTCTCTGCTTCTGCTCCGACTCGACCTTTTGGCCTTCCTGTCTTCCCTGTGTCTGTCTCTATCGTCTTTGTGTCTCCGGTCGTCGTTCTCTGTTCTGCTCTTCCTGTCTCTGGACCTCTCCCTCTCAGAGCCCCTGTCCTTGTGGTGATCCCTGTCCTTCTTCCTGCTCCTATCTTCTCCGTCTCTTTCCTTCTCCCTGCGTTCGCTCCTCCTTTCTCTGCTGCCGCTGCGACTTCTTTTGCGTTCCCTGTTCCTGTCTGCACTACGTGATCTCCGTCTTTCCCTGTCCCCCCTCTCCCTGTCTCTGTCCCTTCCGTCCCTCTCCTTCCTCTGCCGGTCCCGCTCTCTCTCCAGCTCTCTGTCAAAGCTCGGCCCGTGGCGTTCCCTCTCACGGTGGTGGCTCCTGCTTCTTGACCGTTTGGGTGACCTTTTAGGACTCGGAGTCCGTCTTGGTGTTCTGATGAGGAGAAGCAATTCAAAGTCAAACTAATGTAGAGATTCATTGAAATCAAGTGACACATTTTAACAGTTTGTTGAATGTAGATGATTGTAGCTAAGACCTAATAGGTCAAAATTGTGTTTCACAGGGAATTTCATTACCTTAAGAACACTATCAAATGGATTTTAATAGAGAAGTGGTATTTAACGGGAATGTTATCCCCTAGGAATTGAAGTATTTTATTCTATTTCAAGAAACCTGAAAGTTCAGCTGATAAACCAAGGCTTTGTGAAGATGACAAACATCTGAAAATGTGATTAAAAAATGTCTTTTGTGTGTCTCTAATTACCAGATTTTTTTTTTTTTTTTATCAAATAGTATTGAAAGATGGTGTTGAGTATTAAATATTTGGTTACACTTTACAATAACAACCGAAACAATCATTTATAAATGGTAAAGAAACCATGACTTATAGTTTATTAATGTTTGATTCATTTTTAAACTGCATTTAAACTATTTATAAAAGTCAAAAATTTCATTAAGATATGAAACCGACTAACATCAGGGCAAACACGCCCGGGCAATATGATCTATTAGCCTTTTAGAAATGGTTTAAATGCAGTTGATGCACTATCATTACATTTACAAAGTATCTGTTTTTCATTAATAAATTATCTCTCTCCCATTTAGAAATGGAGGTTAAAGGAATAGTACACCCAAAACATGATTAGCCTTCATTTTCTACTCACCCCCATGCTGAACAACACTCTGGAGTACTTTTTTGATATCTCAAATGCATCTGGAGATCTGGGAGGCTTCTTGCTGTCTGCTGACATTCAAATAATGGAGGTCTATGGTGCCCGAGACAGAAAGGTCCATAAAAGTCCACAAAAAACGTGTCAATATTCCTCCATACTGCTCGTCCAATGTAGCGTCGTGATCGCGCATGTGCGCGCTTTCAGGAAATCCTATACACTACTGTTTATGCTCTAAAAACATTCTAAATGACTTCGTTTCGAGTAAATTATGGACGCTACCCACTCAGGACACTTGGAATACATTGGACGAGCAGTATGGAGGAATATTGACACGTTTTTTGTGGACTTTTATGGACCTTTCTGTCTCGGGCACCATAGACCTCCATTATTTGAATGTCAGCAGACAGCAAGAAGCCTCCCAGATCTCCAGATGCATTTGAGATATCAAAAAAGTACTCCAGAGTGTTGTTCAGCATGGGGGTGAGTAGAAAATGAAGGCTAATCATGTTTTGGGTGTACTATTCCTTTAAGATGGTTATTGTACTCAATATTTTCCTGGGCACATACACAACCCTGTACCCGCTCCCGGGAGGGACCGCCTATCAAACACTTGCAAGTGCATCGACGAGCCTGTTATTCCTTGTGCATACTGTTTAAAAGTTTCTGTTCGCATCGACGATACAGATCACCTAATAATCATAACAAGGACCAATGTCCTGACACTTTTAGTTGGGGCCCTGCTCCAACACACCTGAATATAATAATTAGATTACCAGTACTCTGGACAACCTGCAGACCTAGGACATATTTAGACATTTGATTCTGATGTGCTGGACCAAAGACACATCTTAAAGCTGGAGGATACCATCCTTCAGGGGTTGGAGTTACCCATCCATGATCTAAAGCCTGAGGGGGAAAACTGCTAACTTGTCACTGCAGGGTTTATACAGGAATGATTAACTCTAATTTAACGATTTTTAATGCTCTTAGAAATTATTTTAATGCCATCAACAAATACCCATGACTCTCATATACATGGCAAATTCCTTTATCTTTTCCGTCGGCAGGCTGCAATTCCAAGATTTCCAGCCACTTTTGTTTAAAAGAGCATTTTCCCCATTCTCTAGCCTTTTCTCCGCAGCAAGCTTCTTTTACGAACATTCCTGATCAACCAGAAACAGTTGCGTGCAAATATATTGCGATATATTTGCAAATATATATATTGTTTAATAAATTGCTTTAATAAACTTCTTTTTAAATAAAGCATTTTAAATGCCAAAATCATTGCATTTAATGAATTCTAATGCCAAATCAGGCCTTAATTTAAAAAATAATTATTTAATGATTTTTAATGACCCGTGGAAACCCTGCACTGAACCTCATCAGCAGAGTTGGCGCCACTAAAGCTCACTGCATTTAGCACTTTATTTAGGAACATTACTGGAAAGTTTTGTGGAAGGCTGAATCAACTTGGGCTTGCCCAGCAAAGAAAAGACTACTTCTCATTAGTAAGCAGTGTCATGAGGCAGAGAGTCTGAATTTCTGCACAAAGTTAAGACAAATTGGCTCTCTTATTTACTTTGATGAGTTGGAAAAGTAGTTTTAACGCGTTTTTAAGTGATAAAGTCCATCTCAAAACATTATCAGTGCATTCAGTTAATCAGGATTATGCTCCTATTGCTGTTTGGGGAGGTTGGAAGTGTTTTTAAAGGTGAGGGGAAAAAAAAAACCTAGCTACCTGGAGCCTCGTCGTTCCCCTTGTCTCTCTGACTCTGCTTCCTCCTCCGGTTCCTTCTGGACCACCTTGCGTGGCCTAGCCTTCATCTGCTGATCAATGGCCTTTTGAACAGGAACTGGGATCCGGGGAAACAGGGTGGAGAACCATTCCAATTTGGTCATGAAGGAGCGTAGCATCTCTCCAATGGTCATAACACAGCCGCCACCAGCTTTAACATCAAGCTCCTATAATCAAACATTGATGGGGGGAGACATATAAAACAAAGAGTTAACACACATAACTAAAAACCAAAGGTTTCCTTTTAAAATAATGACTCACAACAAAATTATATTTGTGATGACCAAGTACTGAACCTTCACCTCTGTTCATCTAGCTTAATCTTTGATATTTATCTTTAACAGAGGGAACACAAACATGAACATAACAAGAATTGACTCATCTAACCTGTCAGAATTCCTGTAGTCTGTATTAACAGTGTGAGCTCTAATGACCATTCACCACATTTTTAAAGGGCCCCTCCTAAAAAAAGGATTTTCCCCAAAAAGGAAGGAATAATCTAATGCTAATGTGCTATAGGGAGAAAGAAAAAGAAGGCTCTGCTTCTTTTTGTTGTTTCCCAAAAGCATTTTGAACCTTGGAGGATTAAAAACTGCTCACAGTGTAAGCACAGATTATAGCAGGGGGGGTTTACTGGACTCAAGATGAGTAGATATGAATTTTATATGGTAGAGAACAGCTGCTTTGCACTCACGCAAACCAACAGTGCTGAGATACAATTTCCAATTCACCTGCTGCACAATGGGCATCTAAAGAAAAAAACAGGGGAATTAACATGTTGGGTAGGACTTCAAGGAGTGAGCAGTTCAAATAAAAAGCAACAACACATGGAAAGGCCTGGTTGCACAGCTTTGGACCAGATTCTGCTTTTTCTAACCAAAAACTAGCCTTAATAAATCTCATAAACTCATTAAATATTTTTTTTAATATTTTTTTTTATTAAACATAAAATGTTTTCAAGTTAACATAGTCCTACATATTCCAAATTCCTTTTGTGCAACAAGTCCTGATACGAATAGATATAGATAAAACAAAAAGGCATTTTTTCATTTGAATTGATTTATTCTGCATCATTGTTGTACTTACCCTGGGAAATAAACAGCAGCAGAGAAGTGAGCAAGTAACCTAGCTACTCAGGCTCAGGGAACATAAGTTGGGGGGGAGGAAACAAAATTAAGCCAAATGAAAGCAAAGGTGAAAAATCAGCTATGAGCATCACAATAAGGGGGTGGACAGTTAGCTTTAAAAGGGACATTATCTCACTGAGGATGGACTAAAAGACAAAATAAATTTAAATTATTACCCGGGGTGACATACCTCCTCATCATCCAGGAAGTCATTATACCAATCTAATAAATCTGTTGGAGGCTGCGTATATCTGAAACACAAATACCAAACCCACAAGTCAAAATCAAGCTTTTTACAACTTTTGTTTGTTTTGTTATATTTTTTTTCTCAATTGTTTTGTTTTAATTTGTAGTTTTGTAGAACTTAAAGCATTTGAGCTGACAAGGGATGTAATGACAAAACATTAGTTCAAATCAGCGTAACCTGTGAGCAAAGCTAAGACTCATACCTTATATACATGAATCCAAGTGCCCTGATGTACGGGGAGTCTGTGTGAGTGATGAGACCCATCACCTGTTTGCGTGTTAGCTTGAGAGTAAACAGTTTGTAAAGAAGACAGAAAGCAGTAGATACAATGCCACCAGTGCCAACTCCACGCACCTAGCGAGATAAAAAAAAAAAAAAAAGGATAGGTTTGAAAATGCATGTTTTTTTAAAACAGCTACCTTCGTAAAGTCCTTTTAACATTGTCAAATATATTACAGGACATACAATTTGACTTATAAATTACATCAAACCTTAAATAAACGTAACAAATTTGCCAGACCTTTTTTGTTTTTCTTCCCTCATGTGAAATACAAAACGAAGCAAAATGTGGGGAATATAAAAAGCACGTACTTCTCACTTACCCCTCCGCACATTCCAGTTTGGCCTGCAGTCTTTCTGCTCCCCTTTTCCCAGGGCTCAATGTGAGTCACCTAGAGGCAAAAACACAACTCTATTTAAATAAAATACGGTCACTTCTCTATTTATATTTCTGCTGAAAAATAATACCCATCTAGCTGAACACTTTACTCCACCATCAAAATGTGTGTTTAAACAGACACCGTAGTTGAAAACTAGACCCTGGGATGTCCCATATATGGCCAATGGAAAATATGTAATTAAACATGCTTTAACTGTTCAGCACACAACTGTTTCATTTATTATTATTTTTGAGGTATTTACATTAATTCCTGAGTGTGATGATGCTTATATGAAAAAAAACTGATTTTTTTTAAACAAAAATTATCATTAAAAGGATCCATATTTTGTTATTTATGAGTCACCAATATACACCTTGCAAGAAGAGCTTTTAAAAAAATAAGGTTGTTAATAGGAAAATAAAAGTGTCTTGAGAGTTTAATTAAAATGCATAATTAGAATAACAACAGAATTCACCCAGAGATCCAGCTCTATTAAAATTAATTAAAAAACACACTCAATATTGTGGGTCAACAGTGGTATTAGGCAAACCTAGGTAAGGTAGAACTTGGTTTGTTTATAAATAATACTCTATGACAGGGTCGTAATTTTATCGTATGCAGAAATAATACTATACTTTGAGTGTGTCGTTTACACACACTTAACATATAAGAACAGCAGGCTATCTAACACCTATTACAAAAAAAACCCAAAAAAAAACCGTTAAACCTCTTAATGACTCCTGTTTGTTAAATAACACATTGCCTGCTGTATATTTCACAATGAATGCATCGCCGAGCGGGTATGGTTACCTAACTAGCATGCGACTTAGCATTAGCCGACGTTGACGTTACCTTGAAATAGATTTCGTCCACGACTTCATGGTAGGTCTTTAACTCATACAGCTGTACTTTGAAATACGGCGAAGAAAGCACATTCGTAAGAATCATTGGATTGAGGTTCATAGTCTTTTCGTTGCCCCACAGGGGCAATACGTTCCCATGTTTCCCTGACGGAGGTTTGCTAACGGCCTGCGTTGGTAGCTGGTTGCCGACGTTAGCCATGTTAGCTGAATCCCACACGGTGAAACTTTGTTTACGGTTAGCGTATGTACGACTATTGAGCCATCAATTATAAGCAAGGCTCGTCGGTCCTTTTAAAATGTCCCCCTCTCGATTTCTTGTTAAGCTAGAATTAAAGATAGTATCAGCGACTTTCCCGCCGCCGTATTAGCTAAAGTGCTACTAGGAGGTGAAACCGGAAATGTACCGTGAATGGTGCAGTAAACTACGGCTTGTAACGTCAGTTACGTTTTCACCGGATTTAAAAAATAAAAGCTTCTTTACTACGTATTTCCGGTAGGCTTTACAAATGCATGCTACTAAAAAATGAAAGCATGTAAACACAAACTGCGTAATTAAAGCCTATTTACAGAGATATAACATAATTTATTGTTTTTCAAGACATCAAATACGTTCCCAATTAAATTTTTGTATGAAATCAACTCAGTATTTATGTTGAACATTTTATAGTTTTTCTGAAACAGAACATGGTTTTGTTTTTCCAATGATGTATTCTCTATTAAATCTTCCTGTTCCTATCCCAAGGTAACAAGCAGTCATTTGAGGGATTTTCCATTTTGTTTTTCTTTCTCTTTTTTTAAAACACAGTCAGACAAAGTATGGATTACAATTGAGTATTATTTATACTATATTTTCTAAATTGAAGGGAAAAAATCCTAACCTTGCTAAGCATAATGACATGCCAACATAAACTCAGGTGATCAGCTGTTCAGTAGGAGGGAATTTTGAGGGATTCTGACCTATAGGCCAGGGGTCTGCAGTTTTTACAATCCATAGAACCATTTTGCACTCAATCGAGCTCAATAATTTGTTTTGAGAATAAAAACATGGCCTTAAAAACACTTAAAAAAAAACATTTTTAAAGAATAACCATTTTATTTTAATTCTTTACATTTTGAACAAAGAAAAAACATTGTTTATATATTGGTGAAATGTTAAGATGAAAAAAACTACCCGTAAAACTCTTTTCAACCTAACGAAAATAAAAATATATCTAAAAATATCACTGTGGGTTATATTTATATATTAATGTTTAAGTGTAGAAAACACATTTACATTTATACAAGCTGTAAACTGACAAATGTATAGTTTAGCAAAGTGGTATATCTGAAGGTATAACATTTTTACAAAAATGTGAGAGGCCAACATATATCGGTTAGATAATATGGGTAGTAGTGTAAACGCATGCATGGCAGAGCTCATTGAAGCGATTCTGTTTGGCAATCCTTCCTGTGTTTGTAGCCCAGTTTCTTGAAATCCCTGCAATGTTCTGTTCTTATCAATGGTTTGAAAATGTAAGCAATTAAAGAGGAGGATTATGATTAAAAACCTAAAAAAATAATTAAATTAAATACAACAACTCAGTTAAAATAACCCTATTTAATGCCTCATGTGACTCCATGATAAGATTGTTTTTGGCAAGTAAATAAAGAGAAGACAACAAGTTGTTTTTTAGGGGAAAAAACTGTATCGAAATTGATTTTAAAAGATTTTACAGAAATGTAGTGGCCAAACTTTACAAACAGTATGGAATAAATTACAGACATGTGTTTTTTTTTTATTATTTTAATCAACATATACATTCAGCTCTAGTGTATTTAAAACAATCACATACATTTCTGTACTAAAACAAACCAACATAAATACACATTATTATAGATAATGAACAGATATATTTCTGCATGACAAAAAAAAAGGAAACAAAAACAGTTTGGTTATCTTTACAGTTTTTTCATCCTCATTCACTACCAGGTGAGAGATATTCAGCTTTATTTGGCTGAGCTATTCTTAAGTATCTATAGTGCAATACATGTAAATAAGGATCTCACTGTCAGTTTTGTATGCCTTATGGCTAAAAAACCAAAGGAGCACACAATGTTTTTCATTCACTTTCTTTTAGAAATTATTATGAAGAAAACAAAAAATCAACATATTGAAACATTATGTATAAAACATTGTGAATCTCTGACAGTTACACCCTTTCAAAGCTTTCTTCTTTTCTTTTTTTAAATCAAAAAGCTAAAAATAAGACTTAATGCTACATTAGAGTCTCTCAGTACAGTGCAGAGAGATTGACAGCTCACTGAAACCGAAACAATATTGCTGTTAAATCAAGGTAGATGGACGTGCATTTGAGAAACATCTTTGTTGTTTGAGGTTTTATCAGAGAGCTAAATGCTGACAGTTTGTACAGAGTGTCCTCACAGAGTACAAAGAATCCGTTATCAGTGCAAAAAAAGTTTTAATAATGTTGTTCAGTTTCATGTTTTGAACAGCAGGGGGCTTTCACAGCCAGCAGATCCTGCAGGGGTCATACCGGGAAATGTTGCATAAGGGAAATAAAACCTCCTAAAGTCAGATAGGAGTAAGTAGGAGTAAGTTCGTTTGGCACCTGCATTGCTCCAGAGAGGTAGTTCCTCTTGTTTAAGACAAATTCCTATTAAAGCCTACCGCTTGATGACCACCTGCTCAAAGGCTCCTGTTACGACCCTGGAAAAGAATATTACATTGGGTTACTTTGCTGGAAATGAGGGCCGTTATCTGATCTGACTAAGTGGCATTCTTTTTCATGAAAACCTATCATGCTGTGAAATATAAAAAATGATTATCATGCATGTTTTACACATCAAACATCAAAAGATTAATTCAGATGTTTTAGATGCAATCTTTCCATATAAGATCCCTTATCTGACATAGTTGCGTTTTCTCATATTTACAGTAAATAGCCTGTGTTTGGCAGCCACAGTCCACAGTTACATAACCACACCCACCTCATGTGTTGACTTCCCAAAGCCGTGCTCCCACCGGGTCCAACAAACAAGCTGAGCCCCTCCTCTGTAGCAACACATTCACATTAAAAGTAAGAATGATGAGAATCTTTCAACATATATCAGCTCAACTGATCATTTTCAGGATTTGTCAAAGACCAAATAAATAAACGTGGGATAAACAGCCATAAAGTGTTGCAATCTTTGCCTGGAGTATGTGGAGACACAGCACGTCAACAGCTCAAAGTAATTTGATCGCAGCAGTAAGATGCTCAGCTATTTTCCACACCAGGATTAGAGATACACACCCTCTGCACTGGAATCCAAGAAGCCATGGCTGAAATCCTGGCCCTGCAGGATTTTCTCTATGATATCATAAGCGTCTACCCGTGTAGCATCAACTCTCTTTAGCTGATTCTCCACTGAGTTCTGTTTTACAGGATGCCTAAGAAGAAAAGAACATTTGCAGTTAATAACAGCATATAGGCTTTCCATACAGCATAAGTTTTAAAGGTGTTCTACATTTTTAAAGCACACAGAATGCGACAGAATTATGATCAGATGTATGTAAACTGACTTTGTTAGTTACAGATCTATTTACAAGGGGTATAAGCAATGTGTCTTACCTGAAAGTCCTGTTGGGCGTGGACATTTTTTCACCTGTAGAACAGCAAGTTGGAGAGCCAGTTGAAGGGGGCGTGCTCCTGCTTTCTTTCTCTCCCCTCTCCCCCAGCTGGTCACTGGGATCGATGCTGCCGATGCCTGTGGAGGTAGAGCCTCCAGAAGCACTTCGTCTGTGGCTCAGATCTGTTAGACTTGAATGATTTGAACTATAACCTGTAAGAATATAAGTTGCTATTAAAACTCATGAATGTTGCTCTTTAAAACAAGGAAACATGGATCCCTGTTATGGTACCTGAAAGTTTCGAGAGCTGACTTGCATAGCTGGATGTTCTTGAGCTGCAAAACGCAATCAGCTCCTCTGGCACTGATGCTGACTTTGTTGGAGTTGCTAAAAGAACAACGATTTATTTATCATGATTCTATTTTAATGCAAAGAAAATCTTGTCTTTCATTGGGTGATTATGTCCAGTACCGGTCACTGAGTGTGATGTATGCATGTCGCCTCCTTTCCTGTCCTCAAGGAGACCCTCTGCCTCACACGGTGGGATTCCCAGAGTCATGGCTGTCGATGGTGGACTAAAGCAAAGACACAAAACAGTCAAGTGACTTCAGTTCAGGTCAAAATATTAAAGGTATAGAAGAGGATGTTCTTTATCCAGGTGTATCATCAAAATAAGTGGTCTTCCTAATTGTCAATCATTCTGGCCATATGTTTACATAAGACCATCCTACGTGTTCGTCCCCATTTTCACTCACTGGTGGAGAGTCTGACATAGTGGAAAAATTGCAAATCTTCTTATGGAAAGTAACCTTTTATGAGCAATGCAAACAGCAACTTTTAAAAAGAGCGTGCACGAGGAGAAATGGGCTTGTGCACGCTCTTGCACACATTTAATAGGTGTTCCCTCTCAGGAGCAGGAGCAGGTACAGGGCTGAGCATGTGCATTTTTCTTTTTAAAGTGAAGAGGGCTGGTATTTTCAAAAACTCACAAAAATCCTCCTCTATACCTTTAAGTATTACAGATCATTGGTGGGAAAACAAATACATCATAAGATCTTAATGTTTCTTTTTGATATAAAACATTTTTTGTGAAAAAAGATGGACTTAAATGATATTATTTTAGCATGCTGGTTCAATTTGGACCTCCATGCTACAACTGGAATGTTGCTTAAAATATGTCCTTTACTGTATGTACCAATCACTTCTTCCTCACATTAGGTAAGATGCAGCATCTTATAAGCATCATCCAAAGATTCTGATCAACTCGTTTGTAAAACACAGCATTCAATCTGTTTATTTAAGGCACCTTAAACAGGATTTTTCTAAAAAAATTTACAAGTAATACAATTTTAAGATGTCAATATATTCAAATGTAAACGAATATTTTGTTTTGACAATCAGGTTTCCTGTAAACACAACAAACGGAACCTTTAGGAGCTTTACACTGTAAACAGACAGCATTTACAGTACACATATAAACAAAATATGGCTTTATGTAATTCAACTACAAGCGTATGCCTATGGGCTCGTGCATATTTTCTTCCCATAACCAGCAACCAGATGTTTGTTTCCTAAAAATCCATTTTAGCTCAAGAGCAAAAGCCGGGAAAGTGACTAACGGACAACATCTGCTATCCATTCAGGATATTAAGCCCCACATTCTGGGGAGTTCCAACAAAACAAATACAAAGGAAGAAAAAAATGGGTTTAATTCATGTTTCCTACCGGATAATACCGTATCCTGTTTATATTAAATGTCAGCTAAATAAAAATCTGTGTAACAGCAACCTTATGA